CTGGGACTACAGGCACCCACCACCACGCGTGGCTAATTTTTTGTATTTTTTAGTAGAGACGGGGTTTCACCGTGTTAGCCAGGATGGTCTCGATCTCCTAACCCTGTGATCCTCACGCCTCAGCCTCCTAAAGTGCTGGAATTACAGGCATGAGCCACCGCGCCCGGACTATTCTTTTTTTTTTTTTTTTAGCCGGCGTCTCACTCTGTCACCCAGGCTGGAGTGCAGTGGCACGATCTCTGATCTCAGCTCACCACAACCTCCACCTCCCAGGTTCAAGGGATTCTCCTGCCTCAGCCCCCTGGGTAGCTGGGATTACAGGTGCGTGCCACCACACCTGACTAATTTTTATATTTTTGTAGGGGTAGGGGTTTTGCCATGTTGGCCAGGCTGATCTTGAACTCCTGACCTTAGGTAATCTGCCTGCCTCCTAAAGTGCTGGGATTACAGGCCCGAGCCACCATGCCCAGCTTTCATTTACTCTTAGAATTGAACTTTCTCAGGCTCTCTTTTTTTTTCCCCTTCTCTTCTAATGCCCTTCACACCATCATTTGCTTAAAATGAAGCTTTCATGTGTCCAAGGTATAGATTACGATGCTGTCTTTGCAGCTGTTGAGCAGGAACAAATCTTACATAAGATTGCTCTGAGCATCTGCTTCCTTTTCTCTCTGTGACCTAAACTGTCCCCTTCCTGGCAACCACAGAGAGATCATCAGTTAGAAAATATTGAAGAAAGATTTTACAATTATTGTAAAATCTTTAAATAGAGATTAGTTTAATTCAAAATGTACAAGTATTCAGCATATGCTATTTATATATATGTGTTCGTGGGTGTGTATGTGGTTTTGTGTGTGTGTGTGTGTGTGTGTGTGTGTCTCTCTCTCTCTCGATCCACCACCCACCCCATTCACCAGCCTGACAGAGGACAGTGTTTCCAGAAGGAATGTAACTCATGCACATTTTTTTCATGTTAAGTTTTATAAGAAGACCAAACAGCTGCCAGTCTTAGTAAAATGCTGTGAAGAGATCCAGCCACATCAGTGGAAGCCACCTATAGAGAGAGAAGAACACCGGCTCCCATTCTGGTTAAAGGTAAAAACCCTCTTCCTCAAAGTCTGTGGGAGGCAAGTCACTGAAAGTTCTGAGAGAATATCAAGGGCTTCCTTAATCGACTAATGCTTTAGTTGTAGAACTAGGACTTCAGAAATCTTCCTCATTCACCTTTCTTCCCTTACTTTTCTGCCCTTCTCTGAGTGATTCTACATTTTCAAAATAATAGGTAAAATAATAATTTGCTAAAGGAAATTCACAGAAGTTTCTAAAGTATGTAATTGGAATGTGGTCTTTGTAGATTTGATATGCAGAGAGACTTTTCTTGGAAAGATGCCTTGAGCTTGTCTAAGGTCCCTAAAACCTAGAAAGCCCTATTGTTTTTCCCAAATTCTTTTTTTGTTGTTGTTGTTTTGTTTTGTTTTGAGACAGAGTCTTCCTCTGTCCACCCAGGCTATGGTGCGATCTCGGCTCCTCACAACCTCTGCCTCCCAGGTTCAAGTGATTCTCCTGCTTCTGCCTCCCCAGTAGCTGGGATTCCAGGCACATGCCACTACACCCAGCTAATTTTTATATTTTTAGTAGAGATGGGGTTTCACCATGTTGGTCAGGCTCGTCCTGAACTCCTGACCTGAAGTGATCTGGCCCACTTCAGCCTCCCAAAGTGCTGGGATTACAGGCGTGAGCCACTGTGCCAAGCTTCTTTTTCCCAAATTCTGACATATGCTGGATCAGAGTGTTCTTGTTTCCAATAGGCCAGTCTGCCATCCATCCAGGAAGAACTGCGGCACATGGCTGATGGTGCTAGAGAGGTAGGACATGTGACTGGAACCACTGAGATCAACTCAGATCATGGCCTAGAAAAAGACAACTCGGAGTTGGAGAGTGAAAGTCGGTACCCACTGCTATTGCCTAAGGGTGTGGTCCTGAAACTGAAGCCAGTTGCCACCCGTTTCCCCAGGAAGGCTTGGAGACAGAAGCGTTCATCAGTCCTGAAACCCCTCCTTATCCAACCCAGCCCCTCTCTCCAGCCTAGCTTCAACCCTGGGAAAACACCAGCCCGATCAACTCATTCAGAAGCCCCTCCGAGCAAAATGGTGCTCCGAATTCCTCACCTGATCCAGCCAGCCACTGTCTTACAGACAGTTCCAGGTGTCCCTCCACTGGGGGTCAGTGGAGGTGAGAGTTTTGAGTCTCCTGCAGCACTGCCTGCTATGCCCCCTGAGGG